CTCAGCGATCCTCAGCGATCCTCAGCGATCCTCAGCGATCCTCAGCGGTCCTCAGCGGTCCTCAGCGATCCTCAGCGGTCCTCAGCGATCCTCAGCGGTCCTCAGCGATCCTTAGCGATCCCAGCGATCCTCAGCGATCCTCAGCGATCCTCAGCGATCCTCCTCCTACATAATCCTCCTCCTTACAAGGATTCAGAGGTATAATCATGAGTATCTTTTTAGCTCAGAAAACATTCAATTTTTGTCATGGGTATTTTGACACTTAAAAATTGAGAACAGTGAGGTTTCGATTTATTATTTAGCATATTGCTTGTAATTTACAAGCTGTTTGGTTTTTTATAAAAGTTAAATTACAAGTATTAAGAAGTGAACACTAATTCGTGGACCATGTTTGCTTAGTCCAAAACTATTTAAAGTGACAAAAAGAAACATCTGGACTATGGACAGTTAAATAACAACATTGATTATATTTCCTAATTTTTATTATTCTGTCCCTGGCTGACGAAAACTATTTCGATTAGATCATCTTTACAATGTGTCAGTTAGCATTAAAATGCAGTTTAGACCAGTCTCAGTTGATAACTATAAATACCTCCATTAGATATAGTCCCTTCCCTAATATGTCCATGACATTTTCTAATCCAAATTAGAAGAGTCATGGGAAGGGATTATACATTAGTCAATTCCATCAGCTATAAAAGACTTCAAGTTGCTGTGGATTTGGCTTTATCTTCAAGAGCATGGGAGGAACGACATCTCTATCTTCATTAAGAAGTCCAAACTAAACGTCAGTTTCCTCCTTTCCAAGGGTTGGTACCTTCACTTTTCCTAATAATATTCAGTTTCGTGTAGGCGAACTTTGAGATAGTCATTAATATATTTTATCTGATTATAATAGATGGCATAGTACTTTCTAACCATGGAAACAAGCTTAAAAGGGAGGTTAAGAAATTAATTTACTCATTCTTTTCAGCCCATAGACATTTATTAGATTTCAGCCATGGCATCTAATAAATCTCAAATGTTGCAAAGAGTTTATTGCTCAGCCACAGTAAGACAAAACTGCAATAAAGGAGTGTTGTTGTAACTGTAACAAGAGATCTACACAAGTCGCCATGGTTACGGAGGAGGAAGGGCTTAATTAACTATGCTCAGAGGAGACCTAACACAGGAGGAAGATCAAGAGGATAGTGGGGCCAGTCTTTGCAGCAAAGGGCATTTTTACCTGAAAAGAACATGATGTAACAGTCTTGAGGTGGCTCAGTGAGACTGAAACACCATATGCTCCTGCCTTAACATTCATCACCATGTGGTATCTCCCCTTCCTTTGCACCTCTTTCTTCCTTTAGGCTGCAGCCTCTGAGTTCAAAGACTGTGTGTGATCTTCTTCTGTGGCCTCTGCAGCAATTACAGTACCTAGTCCACAGTTTGAGTCAATCCACAGTTTGAATAATATATAAAAAGGGTAAGTAAATGAATGTGCCTATGGCTCTGAAATACTAAACATTGATATGCCATCACTCTGGATAACAGTTTCTATAATTTTCGCAATTATATCTCTCAGCTTTCATAATGTCATTTAAAAAGAGAAGAATATATCACATGCAATTAACTTTTCTTCTGTAAGTATTTATGGAATGTATTTATTGCTTACTATCTACTGTCACCAGTATTATTTTCTCCTCAAATACTTTCTACCCCCAGCATGCTGTTGAAATTCCTCTGTTAAAGGTCACACATGGCCATAGTTTTGGCATATAATAGACCTTATTCAGTCTCTGTCATATTGAACCAGACAGCTTCTAGCTCTGCACATTCATGCTGGTTTTTTCTTCATTTTTCTACCATCATTTAGGTAGGTAGGAACATTTCTTCATTCTGGAATGTCAACACATGCATACTCTATAAAACAACAACCATACCACACCGTGCTCACACACACACACACACACACACACACACACACACACACACATACCTTCCTAGTTTTACATCTAGCTAACTTTGCATCTCTTGCATTTCCTCTGCCTCTCCTGTGCTGCCTGCCTATACACATGGTGTAATGCTGTTATTGCATTTATGAAACAGCCTAAAACTACACATCTGTGTTTCTCTGTCAGACTGTAAATAAAATTTTGCAGACAGAAGAAACAGACATGTGTGCATTTTTTTGTGTGCTATAGCTTTACTGCCATCTGAGGCAGGTATCAATATATCTACTAATAAAAGTAATTAAAAGAATTTAGAATAGGTCTTTATGACAAAGAAATCTTGTTTCAATGGATTTGATGGTAGTGAGAATTCTCAATGTTTACCCATCAGTGGTAGCACCATGGCCAAGAAGCGTATAGCTGTGATTGGAGCTGGGATCAGTGGCCTGGGAGCCATCAAGTGTTGCTTGGATGAAGACCTGGAGCCCACCTGCTTTGAAAGAAGTGATGACATCGGAGGCCTGTGGAAATTTCAAGTATATTTGTATTTTATTTGACGTTATGTACTCTTTCTAAAAGCAGCTATAACAATTTAAACAGTTTAAACAGGAAAAGGAAACACTTTAAACAGATATAGGAAACATAAAGCACACCACACAAGCAGGGTCATTTAGTGACCCTGATCTTTGTGCTTAAGTCACTGAGTGAGGAAATCTGTAGATACATGTCAACTTTGGATGAGAAATGAAGCTTGGAAGATTGTATTCAGGCAGCTAAAAGCCCTTGTGGCCATCACAAATATTAGACATTAGTAGGAGGGTGGTGGCTAACATTCTTTTCTTAATTGTTTAGATGTGCTGTTATTCAAAGTTAGGGATGCCATAGGTTTTGACTGTAGGATTGGATGGTGATCCATTGCTGACCCTCTACTAGGTGATTTGATCTTCTGTCCTGAGGTAATACCTGAATGCTATCTTTTCTTAAATGTCCCAGGGCAAAGTAGAGGTACATAGGTCTCTCTCTCTCTCTCTCTCTCTCTCTCTCTCTCTCTCTCTCTCTCTCTCTCTCTCTGTCCGTCTCTCTCTTTCTGTCTGTCTGTCTCTCTCTCTGTCTATCTGTCTCTGTCTGTCTCTCTGTCTCTGTCTCTCTCTCTTTCTCTCTCTCGTGTGTGTTTGTGTGTGTGCATGTATGTATGCATCTGAGCATTTGTGTGTGCATGTGTGTTTTACAGGCAATTGCTATTTTTTTATTTCTAAGTAGCAAGAGATGTAGTACCTTGAAGGATGCAAACATAGTGCTAAATGCTGAAGAGGCTCAAGTTTCCAAGTGGCCATCTTCTTTGGTGCTTTGATCATCAATTACTGGACATACCTGTGAAATTCAGGACTATGGTCAATACTTTCCAGTTCTGCTGATCCTACAGAATCATTCTGATCACTAACCAAGGGCAGTCTTGTGACACTGTGGCGATCTTTATCAATGCGTTAAGTTTCTTCTATTGGTTTTGGGTTTTAGCCCCATTCAATACATATCAACAGCTAAAATACAAGATCTCTTAATTCCTGTGGACAGCAGTTGTTCTGACAAAGTAGTCGGTACAAATGTCTCACAAGAGTCTCCTCTTTGAGCCCCTGAAACAATCGAGTATCCAAGAAGGATTCCCACTCACTCCCAACACCTTCCCACATGATACTGACATGATTCAAATACCTCTTTACAGCCTGTGGGGCTTTCCCAAGGACTACTTTAACATTCTCATTTTAAATATCAATATACATGCTGTTTCTTCCTTAATTCGAGAGTCCATTCAGTCAGTGAATCTTTTTGAATACTTACTTTGTACAAAGGACTTTTATAGTTGACTAGTATACTATTAGATACGAAGGCAAAATCCTCAGTGTTAGGGAGCTTCGACACTAATATGAGGAGAAGAAAATGAAATAAATAGTATAGTTAATATCAGTGAGCATATTGCAAAAAGTCCAGCAGGAGATGACGGTTGAAAAGATAATTCAAGTATGTGACATCTTCAACATAAAGTGATGTGGGAACAAAGATTTCAAAACTGAAAAGCTATCCTGAGAGATTATCTGGGAATGGGGGCTTAGTAGAAATTTTGGGTACAAATCTACGAGGTGGGAACATGCCTAGCGTGGTAGGGAGACTCAGAAAGCTCATGTGGTTGGCTTGTAGTGCCTAAGGAAAGAAAGGTAGGATGTGGGTCTGAGGGACGTGGGCGGCTGGGTTTGTCAGTCAGTTTAGACTCTAGTAAGGACTTGACAGATACTGAGGTCACAGAAGAGAGCAGCTTTCTTAAGTTGCAGAAGGACCATCCTGCTATGTTGAGAATAGACCAAAAAGAACCTAAACTAATGTGCCTAATTTCAAAGATCCTCAATAATAAGATAAATATATTATGTCAAACGGCATCAAGATTCATGAGCATGTAGCCATTCGTCTCATTTAAATATCATTTATCATACAGGTCGACATCTATTGCACTCCACTTAGCAGTGTTATCATATACACAAATGTTTACTGATATGCTTATAAGATTATGGTTGTTACATACTTTAATTGGTAGTTCCTTTAATTTATACATATAAAAAATCTTGCTTCTTTAGAAAAAGAAAGGGTTTACCTTACATTACATAATATGGGTACTGCTGGTATTATTAAATTTGCTGTCTGTTTGTTAGAGCTGTTGCGTGAAGCTGCATGAGCCCCATCTACACAGGGCGTGTGGAGATTGTAGGAACAGGCCGTGTCTGGGAATGCACCAGCTCTTCACACTTTGTGCAGCCTTTATGGCCGGCAGTTCCCCAAAATGCTCACCTCAAAGTGCTTTCCATGTGCACTTTTAAGGGGATTCTTACTGGACTTTGAAATCTAGGCAATTATTTTGATTTTGTCATTTTAAAGACATTATTGTCTTTTCTGACATCCATCTTTCTGGCTGAGGAGACAGACACAAGACTTGTTGTTGATTCAATGTGATGTGTAGAGGGTTTTGTTTATTTGTTTTGCCCTCTAGAAAATATATGGACTAAGGGGGTAAACATTGGCAGATGTTTGACAATCTATAAAAGGCAATGTTCTACTTTTTTATACCTGAAGACACTTAAAAATAGTTTATTGCCTTGTAATTACAAAGTTCATCGTATTAAGGGATTTTTCTTGCAGAAAAGCCCTTCAGAGAAAATGCCTAGCATCTACAGATCTGTGACCATCAACACTTCAAAGGAGATGATGTGTTTCAGTGATTTCCCCATCCCTGATCACTTTCCCAACTACATGCACAACTGCAAACTCATGGACTACTTCAGGATGTACGCCGAGCGCTTCAGCCTTCTGGATTACATTCGATTTAAGGTGAAACATTGCAGTGTGTGTGTGTGTGTGTATGAGTGTGTGTGTGTGTGTGTGTGTGTGTCTGTGCGCATGCATGTGGACAAATATACTCACCTAGGGACATGCAAGAGTTATATCCAGCACCTTCTGATTTTCCCAGATGAAGAAGAGGTTATCAGGGAGCTTCCTACATCAGAAAACCATCACAGATTGAAATACATTGACAGTTTCCCTTGAGGCTGGAAGACTTGCTCATCAGAACCTATTCTGATATTACATTGCAATGGCACAGCCCTCTTTGTAAGACACAAATCCAAATGTTTATAAACTTAGAATAAGAGCAATAGTGATTGAGCCAAACCATGTTTCTTATAGAACAAAAAGAAGGCTCATATCATACAAAGAATATTTATTTATTTTCTACCTTCTTCCTATCTATGATCAGCATTATGACTCAAACATACAAACCCATTTTTGCTCCATGATGCAATTTTAATTTTTTTAAAATTCAAAACCCAGGACTGAATCAAATGGACAAGCCTGTGCTAAAGAAGGAAAACATGAAGAATTATTATCTCCCTGCATATGGCAGCCTTCCTAGGAGGACGCTAACTCTGTGGACTCCAGTCACCCCAATAGTTCACAAAGCCTTAACTGTTTCTACTGAAATATCCCTAATATATTGAAAATACCCTCAACAGTGATCCTCCTGTGGGGGGACCAGGAACTTCTGGTGTGAAATCCTTAGATAAGTGTCCTGTCAGGATTTGTGGGACTCAAAGAGGAGGATTCACCAGGAACTGTAAAGTGAGTCACCTGTGCTTCCACCCTTTATTCTCAGACCACAGTGAGGAGCGTGAGAAAGCGTCCAGACTTCAGTGTCCACGGACAATGGGATGTTGTCGTGGAGGCAAATGGAAAACAGGAAAGCCTGATCTTTGATGGTATTCTGGTCTGCAGCGGCCATCACACAGACCCCCACCTGCCACTCAAGTCCTTCCCAGGTAAGTCATGAAGAATCTAGTAGAGACACATTTTCCAGATGACTTACAGGCAGAAAGGAGTGGGCATAAACATTATTAAGTTTCATTACGCTTCAGTGAATTATCCCTGGTATCCCTCAGTAGCAAAGTGTGCATCCTCTGTTAACAAGAAATATAAACCATTGAACTACAAAAGCAGGCAGACACAATGACCCACACTTTTTTGCTTATTATCATTGTATACAGCTTCTAATGAATAATGTAAGGCAGCCCACATTCAAATGGTTTCAGTTTTATCCATTTATTTGATCTCAGCCTATTCCAGAGAAAGTAAAATTAATAAAAATGAAGCACAAAGACAAATAACAAGCCAACAGCTGGCAAATCCATAAATTTAGAAATCTTAGCATATGGGGAAAGAACTTCAGCATATTTATTTATCATGAGTTTATTTTTAATTTTTAAGTAAAATATAATTATTTATTTTCTCCTTTCGTCACTCCGACTACTTCCATGTATCCTTCTTTGCTCCCTCTCAAAGACATGGCCTTTTTAATTATTATTGATATATGTAATATATAAATCATATATATCCATCACACACATATAATATATATTTTACATATATTTACATACACACACATATAGTTTAAGGCTGGCAACTTGGTATGGATAACCAATTGAAGGAGCTTATTTCTGGAAATGAGTATTTCTCTAGCTCTCAGCATTTCTTACTCACCTGCAGTCTGGGTGTGAAGATGATAGATATCTTCCTTCCGTATCTTTGGTTTTCATTGGCTAATAAAGCCAAAGGCGCAGTTTATCGCTCCCTTGTAATTCTGTGTGATACCCATCTCAAGGAGGATTACCTCAGCTCTCTATCCCCCTAACTAATCCCCTCCCCTTACTCTTGACCTTCTATTTCCATCAAATTACCACCAGGAATCAATTAGAAAATATTTTATATTTCAAGTTCTTTCTATTGTGTAAAACAAAAATGGAGACAAAGTAAATAAGGTTACCTTAGGCAAATAAAAATAGTCTTTTTGCATACCAACACAAATATCTGTAAAATAACAGTCCCTGGTTTTTGAGTGTTAAAATGCAAAATATTCAGAAAAGTATTTCTACGTATGAGATAATCTAAAGATTACACAATGAGCTATTGTATCGACTTTCTGGTTGATGCTACCTGGAAAAGAGGCACTCCCTATAGAGAAACATAAACAAGTTCACAGGGAACGGCCTGGCAATTTCAGACAGATTGGGGGTTTTATGAAGCATGCAGCTAAGCCAAGTACAGCATCAGGTACCGGTATCAGGCACATAAGGCCAAGGAGAAACCAATGAAGCGAAGATGCCTAAATCCTAGAGAACTGTGAAGCAGTACAACACCCAGCACCCACATTGCTTTGTTATTTTTCTTAGGACTGTGAAAGTAGTACAATAATGAATAACATCAGATCATGGTGCTTTATAACATCTTCCATTTATCTACAGTCAAGACAGATAGTTCTATTATTTCATAAATACTTTATAAGATCACCAGTCTATATTTCGAGCCCATGGACTCTAATTCTGGGCTTAGTCCTCTGTTACCTAAGCTCCCTTAAAGATAAAGGACATTTAAGGACTATGTTCAGCTGACTCAGATTTCATTTCATGTCATTCAGAACATAGCGTTCTTCTCTGTGTTAAGATGTGAAAGTTTTCCCACAATGACAAATTATTCTCTTCTGCCACAGGCATTGAGAAGTTTGAAGGCAGTTATTTCCACAGCCGGGAGTACAAAAGTCCTGAGGATTATGTAGGAAAGAGAATCATAGTGGTTGGCATTGGGAATTCTGGTGTGGATATTGCCGTGGAACTCAGTTGTGTAGCAAAACAGGTTTGTTGGCGATCACTAATTTTGACTCTACCAGTGGGATCCTGGGCACTTACAGGTGGCACCATGAATGAAAGTTTAGCCAGAAAAGAAATGTGAAGAAATCTAAGGGCCCACCCTCAGGATGATTAAATTCATTCTGTGTAGAAAATGAATGTAAAATAAACCCCTTATACTAACAATGGGGACAGGCAAGTAAATGACTTACCAAGGGACCTAAACATAGAGCACTAGATAAAGCATGACATTCCATAGCTAATCTGATTTTTCTTGATAGGATCTGCATATGAGGGAGAACATGTGGTATTTGTCTTCCTGAGTCTGGGTTACTTTTACCTAGTAAGATATTTTCCACAAATTTATTTCAGAGAAACAATATAGAGTTTCCAAGAAATTATTATGGTAATTAACTTACACATTCAAATCCTTATCTCCATATGAAGTATAGCTATGTCAATATCCAGGAGTATTTTTAATATGATACTTCAGTCACAGGTAGATAAGTGAATTACGTTTTAGTTTTCATTAATAAATGTGATATCATATAAGCAGTTTTTATTCTAGGACTCAGTAAAAGTTCTGGCCAAGCACAGCATGGTGCTCACTGCACAGTACTTTGCCTTTTATTCTTCAGGGGTAATGGCTAACACTTGAACAGTACAGTAGGTAAACAGTCCTCTGTCTTCTGCTGTAATTCTGCATCCTAGGTATTCCTCAGCACCAGACGAGGATCGTGGATTTTACACCGTGTTTGGAATAATGGCTATCCCATGGATACTTCATTTTTCACTCGGTTCCATAGCTTTCTCCAGAAGATATTAACTACAGAAGCAGTAAATAAGTACCTAGAGAAGATACTGAACTCAAGATTCAACCATGCACATTATGGTCTGCAGCCACAGCACAGGTGACAAAGGGCTTGGTGTGGGTAATTGTGTGTAGATATGACGGGCTTTTTGCTCTGAAGACAAGTCAACTTTTGGCTCCTGGTTGATCTTATGTCCTTAAGAGTGTAAAGCAATCAAAACTGTATAACATATATCACTGCATGCAAATGTGCATGTGCTTCTTGGCACAATTTGTACATTCCCATCTAGTCATTAGTCAGTTAACACTTGATGGCTGTACATTGAAAATTCAGACAAAAAGCAATAGAACGCTCCTCCTTTCAATGGATGTTAACTGTACAGGTCAGAGAAGACACAGACATAGGTTTGTGCAAAAGCAATGTGAGATGCCATGGTGGATGTCAGAGCAGGGTGCATCTAGGTCTAAATTAGAAATAGTCAGGTTGGGGAGAATGAGCTTCATTCATTGAGGTTGGGGTAGATGCTTCAGTGAAGGTCTCATGAAAGGGGGGCTACCTAAGAGATCCTCCCTCTGTAAGAGTACCCCTATGACTCCAAGTCTTAACCCATGAAGCTTCCTTGATTCAAAATTTGTTAGTAGCTTTTAGTTAACAAGCAAAAGATAGAGTAGGATCAGGAGTTAGGTGAGATAAGAAAAAATAAATACAATGAAGAAATATTCAAACAAGTTAGGTGTCCCAGAATTCATTTATGGGATACTTATCCTCAAATTCATATTTCAAAGCTATGTTGATGTGGTACCATCAAGGGTAACTGAAATTAGATGACATCATAGGGATGAGGACCATAGGAGAGCTCAGGGTTCTTACAAGAAGAGGAAGAGACAACTGAGTTAGAGGTTTTGCCCTGTCTTCTCATGTGGTTTCTCATACCACTTCAGACTATGCAGCATCCCCAGCACCAAGAAGGTACTCACTAGATGTGACCCCTTGACACTGAGTCTCTATGATTCATCTAAATCAATAAATGTTACACACTTTTATAAATTACCCAGTCTTATATATTATTCTAGCAAAGGTAAACAAATATTCTCTTTCTTATATAAATACTTATGGTCTCCAAGGGTGTGTGTGTGTGCGTGTGTGTGTGCTGTACATACATGTTTGTGTGTAAGTGTATGAGGAGGCCCGAACTTGATGTCAGACATCCTGAGAAATTACTCTCTATCTAATTATCAGAGACAGGATCTCTCAATGAATGTGGTGCGCACCGATTCAGTGGGACTAGTTGGGCAGCATCTCCCAGGACCCTCTTGCCTTCTCCTTCTCACAGCTGGGATGGTAGGAACTCACTGAAGTGCCCAGGTTGATGAAGGTACTGGAGATGAAACTCAAGTCTTTATCCTTACACTGCTAGGACTTATGGACTTAACTATACAGTGTCCCCACCCCGTTCATGCGTTTCTTCAGAAGGGAGAAAAGAATGTGATATGTATTGACTTGTTCACTAAAACATATTGAGTGACTTTCTCTTATGCTGTGGATGAAAATGTTACATTCTATGATGAGTGCCTTTTAAATCTATGGAATGTCATTAGAACTATGGAGAAAGTGGATCAGGATGTGGTATAGGCTGTCTAGGGGTAGACCTAGGTGGATCCACTTGTAGGATGGTGGACAAAGCAATTCTAAGGTTTAAGTTAAGACTTAAAGGGCAAGGAGGAGCCACCATGAAAAGTTTTCCAGGCAAAAAGACTATAGGAAGATTCCCAAGCAAATCATTCTTGAGCTAGGAAGGGGATAGTTACAAAGGGAGGAACAGAAGAGAACCAGGCACCATAACAGAGTCAGCAAGAGGATCACAGGCAGAAGCCAAGGCACATAGGGATGGAACGTGGGCCAAAATTTGGATTCTGTCCATTTGTAAGACAATTGCATAATTTTAAGGAGTCTAGCAAGCTCTGTTATACACACACAGTGAAGCTGTTACTATAGTGAGACCAATCATAACATTCATGATCTCACCTAGACCTTTTAGCAAAAGCATATAAATTCTTCATGCTATCCTGTTGTTGGCTATAGTCCCAGTGCTGTGAACCAGAACCTTAACTTATTTGTTTCACACACTTGCAACTTCGTTTCCTTTGGCCTACTTCTCTCCATGTTCTCCTCCACCCCTAAGACCTGCTAACAGCCACTGTGATTTCTACTCTTCTAACTTTTTCACATACAGCATGTAATAATATAATATGATATTCCTTTTTTTAGTATCTGGCATATTTTACATAGCATACTATTTCTCAGGCTTATTATACTGTGACTAATGGCAGTATTTTCTTTTTTTTTTATTAATTTTTATTAGTTTTTAAAAGAATTTCCTATAATGTATTTTGACAGTATCCACTCCTCCCGAAATTCCTGCCAGATCTGCACACCCCAAACACACTCAATGTTGTGATTTTTTTTTTAAACCATCAGGTCCACTTTGTGCTGCTCATGTGCTGCTTGACATTGACTCTTTGAACACAGACTCTTACACCTACTAGACAGATGTTCTAGCACCCAATTCTAAGGCTGAATAACATATCATTGTACGTATGTATCATAGTCGAAGATTGGAGAATCAGATAGATAGACAGACAGGCAGACATGTTTCAGTTTTTTACTCATTAGTCATGGAGCAGCACTTTGGTTCTTTATTTTTTGGTTATCACGAATTAGACAATGAGCAAGGAGAGCGGATAGGTCTTGATGGCAGTGAGTTTATCCCTTTCGAGTGTATACCGAGACTAAGGATTTAGGGCTCATACAATAAGACTACATTTTTAAATGTCTAGGGCCGAGAGGCAAAAGGATCCATTAAGGCTTCAAACAGTATATGAGTCTTTCTTCTCCATAGGTCAGATAAGTACCTAGAGATCAATTTTAAGGATCCCAAAGGTAAAACAGTGGTGTACCCTGGGAAGAGCTTGGTGTGCTATTAGCTAAAAGGCAGCATCAGTTCCTCCTGAAGCAGTGCCCTAGCACTGAGGAAGTGTAGATGAGGAAGAATAAACTGAATCCTACCTGAGGTGATTGTACCCAAGAAGGAGACAAAGGCTTTCTCTGGATAGTTCAGCAAGAACAAGGATGTTTTCTAGGACCTTTCATCTTAGTTCACAGAGTTGGCCCATTCACCTTGTGCCACATGCAGAACAGCCACCCAAGGTGCCTGCAGTCACCAAAGGCAGCTTGTAGAAAGTGACAAAAGACAAACTTCTTTATGTCAATAACCAGAATCCAGACAGATGATATATTGGAAAATCAGGGCAGGAAAGTTGAGTGGAGAAGAAAAGTCGTCTTGCATGAAAATAAAAAGCAATCATAAAGAGATTCAAAGCTACAAGGAATTAGTCTGTGGTAATTAAAAATATCATTTCCCAGTTAACAGCCAAGGCAGGTAGCAGGAAAAATGCTTGCTAGAACAATGGAAAATTAGAATATAGAAGACACTCAATACTTAATTAAGGAACAGAAGAAAAATGTTTTCCAGATTGAAAGGGGGCTGCTGACTCCAGGATACAATACTGACCACATACATGCACAGACACTCTTTATGTAAGGGTCTCAGTTCTCCACATTTTCTCTGCCTCAATGAACTATATATGACCAGCTGTATGTTTTTGTCTCCTGCAATTTAGCCTGATATTGGGTCTTGAAGAACCCCAGGCATTTATAAAGGCCTTTAGGTCTTTTCCCAGAAAACTAAAACCCCATACTTAAGTTAATTTCTTTAACTCATCAACACACTTCACAGCCCAGCCTGCTCACTGGGTCATCTCTTATCTTGTTCCACCAGGATACACTGCAGCCTCCAGTAATCTCCTCTAGTATATTCTTTGAACATGTGAGCCTGCTTCAGTAAGCCTTACTTCAGAATTCTACCCAATTACCTCTTGGGGTTGTTTTGAGTGTCTCCAGTTGAACCCATAGACAGATGAAACCCTTAGGCAAATTGTACCAATATGGCTCCACTCAAGGAACAAGTAGCAGACAGGAAACACACTCTGGCTTTTGTTGGTCTACACATGTACAGCACTGGAGACTACACTGCAATGGATCTACAGATTCTGATAGAAAATATATCAACCTTGGGCTCCTAAATCTATAAAAAGAAAAGAAAGTCATGTGAGCTTGGGTCCACAACAGAGAAGAATCAGAGCTGGTAACTCAGTAGAATAGAGGAAGAAAAAGGAGAAAGGAGAAAGGTATTTATGAGAGAGATAAATATCTATGTGTGGTTAAATGTTTATAGAGGTGGATAAAAAAAGAAGTAAAGACACAAAACAAAATAAGAAAGAATAAAGGAAAGAAGGAAGGGTAAGTGAATGGAGAGTGGGTAGATGGTAGATGGATGGGGGATTGGATGGGGGGTAGGTAGGTGAACAGACAGACAGACAAATAGAAGGAAGGAAAGAAGGAAGATGTATGGCTATGGGGGTAAATAGATGAGTGAGTGGATGGATAGACATGGATAAATGGATGGGAGGAAGGATGGATGGATGGATGGATGGATGGATGGATGGATGGATGGATGAGGGGTAGGGAGTGGGTGGGTGGACAGACAGATGAATGGATGGACTGAAGGAAGAAAGGATGAATGGAATGATGGATTAAAGCAAGAAAGCTACAGCTTATTCCCTCTGGTGTTAGATGGATGGATGGGTGGATGGATGGATGGATGGATGGATGGATGGATGGATGGGTGGATGGATGGATGGATGGATGGATACATGGATGGATGGATGGATACATGCATACATGGATGAATACATGGATGAATACATGGATGGATGGATGGATGGATGGATGGATGGATGGATGGATGGATGGATGGATACATGGATGGATACAAGGATGGATGGATGGATGGATGGATGGATGGATGGATGGATGGATGGATTAAAACAATCAAGCTACAACTCATTCCTTCTGGTGCTGTGTGGTCCGAGTGCTAGTGAATGGAAACATCCCTGAATGTAGTTCACCTTCATAAACTCTAGGAGCAATGAGGGAGTTTATATGAGCTAAATAGTGGCTACAGTGTCACTTCAGAAAATGCATAAAACCTCTGGAATTAAACACTGAATGATCAAAATCCCTCTTAGTTAAAACACACATGCTTTTTCATGGTACTCCTGAAATATTATGGAAGCCAATCTATGTTTAAATAATGCGTATCACATTTCCCCTGATCATATTTCCCACTGATTTAGCTTGGGACACTGCTGTATTATGCAAAGATTTAAATTTTAAAAAAAAATCACACCTGTCCATCTTTTCTCTCATAATTTATTTTTAAAAGCAAGATAAAGATAGGCTCACCTGTCTGAAGAATGCAAAACTACTCTTCAAGTTTTACTCAGTACATTTGGAATTTTCAAATATTTTTGAGCATAAGTATTTAATCACTTAAGAATGTATTTGCCCATGATGATTGTAAGGGGGGAATCTAGCAACACATGCTAATCAGAAGCCCTAAATCCCCAGGCTGAGTGGAAACCAGGTAGCCCTACACTGTCATTCTCCACTCCATCCTATAGATGTCCTCACACCAAACATAAGACACACTCTTATGTATACAAGGCTGCTGGTGCAATGCAGCATACTGATGACAGTCATGTTTTTATTCATAAGCAGAAATAACACTAAGTGTTCATGTAGTAAAGGAAATACATGGAAGCTAGTTACTATCATTTCTAGCTATTGCATACTGTGCATAATTGTACGTCGGCTTTCACCTGCTGGGCAGACACACAGTAGCCTGCTTTACACCAGCATTTCCACACACATGAGCACTGGGCTACAATATGATTGCTGTGAGGTCACTAAACGACAATGTTGCGGTTCTAGTGCAATCACTCTCATATATTTGGTAGGTTAACGTATGCCAAAACCCTGGATGTAGCACAGAACTATTTATTCTTACTTTTCCTGACCTGACTATATATTTTATTTATAATCATAATAAATCACTTCTCTATTTTATTTTCAGTCTGAATCTTACCTCTATAGAAGAACTTTTCTCAGTTGTTTACAAGATGCCTCTTCTGTCCTGAAACAGAAGATTGGCTGGATAATGTGGTCAGGTGACATGGCTTCCTCCAATGGGACTTCATTGACTAGAATTCTGAGACTAGTACGCACACAGTCAGCATGTGTAGTCTCTGCTCTCTCCCTCTGTCACAATTCCTCTCTGGAGAATGGGTTCAGTACCTGGGGCCCAGTTACTCAAGGCAAGACTTTAGCTGTTTTACAACTACCTGAGCAGGCGCTGTGGTGTCAGACGGCCTTGTGGCTACCCATTTATTCTACAAATGATTCCTACGTCTAATTTAGACTTTAATTTCCTTACAAGCAACAATTACCTGGAGATAATTGAGAGAAAAGAGGAAAGAGAAAGACTAAAAAAAACAGCCTATGGCTTGCTTTCAAAAGTCCAACATCATTTTTTTCCTTAAAATCTAAAAAGTGCAAATATTTTATAGAAAAAAAAGTAAATGAGAAATATCTTAATGAATGATATGATACATGCATATTTTTCAAGATAAAATATGACACAAAATACTTGAAGAAAAGTAGAGCTGAGAAGGCCACTAAGTAGTCAGAATACAGAATATACTCCAGGGGGAAGGGCGTGGCTCAGTAGATAGGAGCTCTTGATGTGAAAGCATGAAGACCTGAGTTTGAATGTTAAAAACCCATGTGAAAAATAAAGTTTAAAGTCAGGTATGACCACATCCTGAATCCCAAATTTAGGAGGAAGAGGCAGGTAGATCCAGGAACTCAATAGCCAGGCAACCTAGCCAAAACTTTAAATTTTAGGTTTAGTAAAAACCTTATCTCAGGGGAATAAGAGCTCTTGATAGAGTGAGATGCCTTACATCCTTCTCTGACCGATGGCTGCACGCATATGCATGCACACATGTGCATATATGTGTGTGTGCGCGCACACACACACACACACACACACTGTGTTTGCAGACACAACTGACAAGGGGAATTGCAAGCTTCAGTCCGTTCTCCCATATCTTGCTCTCTCTTCCTTAGATTTGCTTAGATTTTTATTTTCATGCACAGGCCACTGAGTCAGCATCCCACCGTCAGTGATGACCTTCCGAATCACATCATTTCTGGAAAAGTCCAAGTGAAGTCTAACGTGCAGGAGTTCACGGGAACAGAAGTTGTTTTTGATGATGGCACGACGGAGGAAAATATTGATGTTGTCATCTTTGCCACAGGATACAGCTTTTCTTTTCCATTCCTTGAGGGTCTGATTGCAGTTACTGACAATGAAGTGTCCCTGTATAAGCTGATGTTCCCTCTGGACCTGGAGAAGCCAACACTGGCTGTCATTGGACTCATCCAGCCCTTGGGCATCATCCTACCCATTGCAGAGCTTCAGTCTCGCTGGGCTGTGCGGGTGTTCAAAGGTCTGTACGCAAAGGCTCTGAGGGGCCTGGTGGTTCACCTAAAGTGACCTCTTCTTTTTCTTCATACCAGTTTCCTCTTCCTGATTAAACATATCCTCCTTTTTCCTTTTATTGAAAATAGATTTTTTCTTATATAATATATCTAATTATGGTTGCCCCTCCCTCTACTCTTCCCAGTTCCTCCTGACCTCCCTTGCAATCCAGATCCACCTTCTTCGTGTCTCTTATTAGAAAAAAAAAGGCTTCTAAGGGAATATAATATGATATGATATGATATAATGATATAATAATAAAACAGAAACTAACATATCAGAATTGGACAAAACAAACAAATAAAAGGAGGAGAGCCCAAAAGAAGGTACAAGAAACAGACACCTATTAGCTCATGCACTAAGGAATTCCATAAAAACACTAAGCTGGAACCCATATTATATGTATGTAAAGGACATATAGGGCAAAAAGAGAGAAAAAAGGTTATAAATAAAATTAAAAATAAAAAGTAAAAGCCAGGCATAGTGGTGTATGCCTTTAATTTCAGCACTTGGGAGGTAGAGGCAGGTAGATCTCTGTGTGCTAAAGGGCCATCCTGGTCTACAAAGTGAGTTCCAGGACAGCCAGGGCTGTTACTCAGATAAACATTGTCTTGGAAAACCAAATTATTATTATTATTGTTTTATCATCATTATTATTATTATTATTATTAACAATAGAGAAGTACTGTCACTACATTAAGAGATAAAGAACCTGCAAAGAGGCTGTCAAGTTTGTTTTCTGTGTGCCATCTATGGCAGGGCATGCAGCCTACTCTTAAGAGTAGTTTGTTTCCACAGTGAGACTCCTTTGGAGGGAAATAAAATTTCATTTTCAAGTGCTTATTAATTGGAAATTGCTTCTGAGTTAGGGATGTAGCTTTTGTCTACTTCTCCTTTTGGCTCTAGGACCCCATCTAGTACAGACCTGGGCCGGCCCTGTGCATGCTGCCTCAGTCTCTGTGAGTTTATATGTGTGTCGTTCTTCTGGATTTAGAGGGTCTGTTTGCTTGATGCCTCTGTCCCCTAAGGCTATTACACTCTATCTCCTCTACAACACAGTCCCTGAGACCTGAGGGACACATCCCTTTTGGGGCTGCTGCTCCAAGGCCTCACACTCTCTGCATGATGTCTGGCTGTGGGCCTCTGTACTTGCTCCCGTCTGTTGCAGAAGAAAGCTTCTCTTGATGATGGCTGACCATGATCATATCTATGATTATAGCAAAACGTCATTAAGAGTCATTGTTATTGCTATGTTTTTGTTTGTTTGTTTTTAGAACAGTAGAATTTTGTTTTAACCTAGGTCCCCAAGCTATCTAGTCTCAGATTCTTGGTCACCCAAGCATTGTTGAGTATGGGTTTCCTTTCATGGTGTGGGCCTTAGGTCAAATCAGTGTTGGTTGGTTTCTCTCACAAGCTTTGTGTTACCAATGTCCTAGCGTGTCGTGGAAGCAGGACACCATTGTAGATCAAACAGTTTGTAGCTGGACTGGTGTTTATGTTTCTCTTTGGGTTTGTGCAGAGTACCTTTCTGTATGAACGCTTGCACATAGTGGTGACAGCTCTATGTAGGCACCAGTTCAGCGTCTCCACATTCAATGGGTTATATGGAGTTGTCTTCAGCAATGGAGCCTTGCCATCAGTGTGTGAAGAACAACTAATAGTCCTGGCAAAAAACTGGGTTATTTAGGGATTGCCATGGGACCCTTTTGGCCAACAACTCAATTAGATACAACTCAATCCTATTACTAGAAACTTCACATGGTGACAAGAGATGGCCAGTTGGAGATTTGTCTTCCACGTTACACTTGGAAGCAATTTCATTTAGAGTTCCTTCATATGTATATCTACTTTGAGAAGCTCCTACTGTACTAGGCTTCCTAAGAGCCCTCCAATTACATTTACTTTTCGTAATCTCTTCCAAATTTCCTCCCTTGTCTCCCGCTCCCCTCTCTCTCCTCACTTGATCGTCCCATTACAGCCATGCCTTCTATCCAGAGCTATTTTATTTTCCTTTCCTAGTATGATCTATCCGTCTCTCTATTTCCTTTTTCTATACCTAACCTCTGTGGTTCTATGGATTATCATTACCCTAACGGCTAGTATCCACATGTAAGTGAATACATATCATATTTGTCTTTCTGTGTCTGAGTTACCTCACTCAGGATATTTTTTTTCTAGTTTCGTCCATTTACCTGAAAATTCCATGATTTAATCTTTTAATCTTCTGTCTGTTATACATAGGCAGCAGTGAACATTGTTGAGCTAGTGGCTGGGGTGAAGAACAACTAATAGTCTTGGCAAAAACCTGGGTTATTTAGGGATTGCCACGGGACCTTTTGGGCAACCTCCTTTGTGATGAAACCCCCTTTGGGGATATGCCAAGAGTGCTATAGCTTGGATCTTGAGATGGATTGGTTCCTATTTTTCTGAGGAACCACCACACTGATTTCCATACTGGCTCTACAAGTTTGTGTTCCCATTAGCAATAGATGGATGTTCTCCTGAGCTATAACACGTGTTATTTATCTTAACCATTCTGCCAGGTACAAGATGAAATCTCAAAGTAGTTCTTAGTTGCATTTCTCGGCTGTCTAAGGATGTTGAGCATGTCTTTAAGTTACACATGCCCTTATTCTTGCAAATCCTAATGGAATTTTCACTTCCAGGGCTGAGCAAATTACCCTCAGTGAAGGCCATGAAGGCAGACATCGACCAAAGGAAAAAGGCTATGGAGAAACGGTAAATAAAAATGCAGTGGCAAGCATTTGGAAACTTCTAAGAGATGGCAGGATTCTTAGTGTGGCATTCTAACTCTGTTCTTCCTGTCTGTCTTGTCCTTCTCCATTCCCTATACCAAGTACACCCTTTAGCTCCTTGGCCCAGTCCTGTGGTGAACGACCACATCAATGAGGTGTTTATCCTCTCCAGCTCTTATTAAATCTGCAATTGCACCCACCGCTTTAGACTCCATCTTTAGCGGTGTTTTTTTTCAGGGTCTTATCATGGAAGCTTAACCAACTTCCCCAATGTGACAATAGTCTCTGAGTTTTGCCACAACCATGTTTCTTACCTACCTGCTAGTGGCCTAAGGCTAAGGTACATTTGAAGACCTGAGGCCAGCACACTAGTGACTATCTGGTGACCCATCTCTAGCTAACAATAAATACAGAGAGGATTAGAAACCAAGCTCTCCACCCCGTCTATGCATCACGCAGCTAAGTGTTTCCCTACATCAAAATCTCTCATTTAAAAAAAAAATATCTCTTTTCACTATATGTGTTCTTGGAATCAAACTCATATCATCAGGCTTGGCAGAAAGTTCCAGTTCCTATGAGGTTGTCTCTGACCTCCACTCATGTGCACTGCAACGCTTATGCACACACACTTATGCACACTCGCACACACACGCAAACACAGAGAGAGAGAATAAATGAATACACAAGAATCACTTCTAAGAAAGGTACCTTAAAGGATAGAGATCACTGAGAATGTGGTCTGCAGTTCAACATCCTAGTGCCAAAAAGCGACGAAGGTACATGTGGGGGATGGGGGAGGGAGAAACATGGATTCTGTGTCCTCAATTCTATTCAACATCTGGGTGGTGCTGGGTTTCTCAGGGAAGTTTTCTCGCTCTCAATTTCTTTACCTCTAAGGTAGAAATAGTTAAAGCTTCTGCCCAGTGCTGGAGGCTAAATCTTGCATATTCTGTCTCTGTGTGTTAAGGTATGTGAAGACAGCCAGGCACACAATCCAAGTGGATCATATTGAGTACATGGATGAGATTGCCTCTCTGGCCGGGGTGAAGCCCAACCTCCTGTGCCTGTTTCTTTCGGATCCAGTGCTGGCCATGGAAGTCTTTTTTGGGCCCTGTACCCCTTACCAATACCGTTTGCAAGGTCCAGGGAAATGGGATGGGGCACGGAGAGCCATCCTGACTCAGAGAGAACGAATCATCAAGCCCTTGAAGACTCGAATTACTAGTGAGAAGAGTGGCTCTGCCTCAGGTCTCTTTTGGATAAAGATGATACTATTTGGCCTGGGATTTTTGGTTACAAGCTTAACATACTTCAGTTATATTTGTCATGATGAACACAAATGAATGAATGAATGAATGAATGAATGAATGAATTGTTTAGTAGGAAAAACATGTACCTCTACTCCTTGTAGGTTGTTGCAAAGCCTTTAGTCAGTAGCATACTGCAATCTCATTTAACACTGCTATAGCTACAGAAATGTTTAGTCTTTACACGTAGTAGAGTCCTTTGGGTATTCATCAACACTTATAAAACATTTTTGAATGCACAAGAAGAGCTTATGTTTAAACAGTCTTGAGACTTTATTTAAAGCTGGAGAGACTTTTGCCTCCAAATGGACTGGAACCGGTTGCAGGAAGGTTGGTTATATTTGTGGGAATTTATAAATATACAGGAGAAAAGTTCCTGAACAGAACACCAATGGCATATGCTCTAAGATCAAGAATTGACAAATGGGACTTCATAAAAATGCAAAGTTTCTGTAAGGCAAAGGACACTGTCAATAGGACAAAACAACAACCAACAAATTGGGAAAAGATCTTTACCAATCCTTCATCTGATAGAGGGCTAATATCCAATATATACAAAGAACTCAAGAAATTAGACTCCAGACAACCAAATTACCCTATTAAAAAATGGGGTATAAAGCTTAACAAAGAATTTTCAATGGAAGAAACTCGAATGGCCGAGAAGCACCTAAAGAAATGTTCAGTATCCTTAGTCATCAGGGAAATGCAAATCAAAACAACCCTGAGATTCCATCTCACACCAGTCAGAATGGCTAAGATCAAAAACTCAGGTGATAGTAGATGCTGGCGAGGGTGTGGAGAAAGAGGAACACTCCTCCATTGTTGGTGGGACTGCAAGATGGTGCAACCACTTTGGAAATCAGTCTGGCGCTTCCTCAGAAAATTGGACATAGCATTACCTGAGGATCCAGCTATACCACTCCTAGGCATATACCCAGAATATGCTCGAACATATAACAAGGACATATGCTCAACTATGTTCATAGCAGCCTTACTTATAATAGCCAGGAGCTGGAAAGAACCCAGATGTCCTTCAACTGAGGTATGGATTCAAAAAATGTGGTATATTTACACAATGGAGTATTACTCAGCTATTAAAAACAATGAATTCGAGAGGTTCCTAGGTAAATGGATGGAACTAGAAATTATCATCCTGAGTGAGGTAAGCCAATCACAAAAGAACACACATGGTATTCACTCACTGATTAT